CAATATTGAAATTCACGGAAAGCACCTTCTCTCTTCTACCGGGAAAATCTCACCGGATGTCGTCCTACAGTGTTTATCATTTCGCCGGTCTTTCAGCGCGGCGTGCTGCTCTCGCGGGGCTAAAAATCGAACGTCCGAAAACGCGCGCGGGCGACGGAAACAAGTTCGTTTACCGGGAAGCGGCGAGAATGCCGCGCAGTTATTCCGAGGAAACCGAGTTTCGGAGGCGCGTAGCGCGAAATCCGCTCCGAATAAATCGCGAGCGTATTATATGCGCGCTCGGCACGGCCCTGATCGAGTGTGACTAAGCCGCGGCCGCCTACGTGCGTGATGCGATGGTGTCGCGGTTACGGAAAGGAAGAGAGATAGATAAATAGAGAGAGAGAGAGAGAGAGAGAGAGAGAGAGAGAGAGAGAGAGAGAGAAAGAGAGAGAAGAGAGAGTGAGAATCTCATCACTTTAGGTTCTAACCCATGGTACTAACTGACTAACGACCTTTCACGGTCCACTGCACACTACTGAAGTAATTAGCTGCGCTAACGAGAGATCGTTATGGCCAACCGCAGAGCTGCGGAAAAGGCGGCGATCTGTCCCTTGCGATGATCAATTGACGATCGTTATTTCACGCCGCGTGTCTCAGTCTATATATAATAGTCTCCAATATTCATTATTTAACTAAACGCACCGAGCTGGTAAGAGCCTCGCGTTATTAATATTACATGTTGCATATTAATAAGGAACCGCCATCTTGAGCTTGAGAGATACTCTCTTCGGTCCGTATTTAAAAATTTGCAAATCACGAGGAGCGCTTTCGGGACGGGTAGCAAAGACACCTTTTTTACGAATGTAGACCTCTGCTAAAAGATTCACCCGCGTTATGCAGCGCGCATCTGGAGCTCCGGACCGAAGATCAGAGGATCCCATCAGAGACCCTGGAATTCCGTGTCGTAAAATGCACGTACCTACTCATGGTACACGTATCTATCTGTACGCATACTGAGAGAGAGAGAGAGAGAGGCAGAAAAAAGATACCGCGCGCGCGCGCGCGCGCGTGCGTTTTCCCCCCTTCCGTTCATCTCGCTCGCCCCCTGACGTTCCTCTTCCTCCTCGCGAGAGATCGCGCGAGGATGGAGAGACGTCGCCGATCCTCGGCGCTCTATCGGAGCCGTCACGGAAAAGTACCGGTCACACGTCTACCCGGTGGCACTCTATCTGTCCTGCTCCCCGCCCTCTCCTTCCCCCTATCTGCCCCGTATGCCGTAGGCGAGGCCTCGGTGACTCGCACGCGTACACATCGTCATACGCTACGGGTGAGACGCGCGGGGGAGGGATGGCAGGGAATCGGAGGACGCGTATCTGTGCGCGGGATTGCGTGTCACCGCGAACAGCCGTGACCGAATGATGATTCTTCCCGCTCGCTCACTCGCTCGTGCGGCCAATAAGTCGGCCGTTTGTTGATACATACGTGCCCGTTCCTTGGATCTCTCTCTCTCTCTCTCGCTTGCGTTTGTCGCCTCTCGTCGCCATCCGGACCTCTAACCCTCGGGAGAGAGAGATGCATTCGACGTGAACATACGGTGACGCCTTACACAGAGGCGTGTTGATACATACGGCTCCGCGCGCGCGTATTTTAGCTCCGCAGTTAAAAATAGCACTTGACGGACGGGGATGACGTTTTTGTATTTGCAAAAACATAGGAAGGAGGCGGAGAGAAAAGAATTTAAAGAATCGTCACGGGATCTTTCCTCGTTCCTCGCGCGGATTATTGTCGACGCCTCGTGACGCGGTTATAGAGAGGATTTATTTAAAACGATCGCCCGATCCCCATCATGTTTACCCATGGGACTTGTATTTTGTCTGCAGATTAGTAGTCTGTTCACGATCATTATGAATACGCGTGTCGCATTAAAGATTGATATTGCTGTGTGTCGTTTCGTCCGTATATACTCTCATTAGTCACATTAATTGTCCGAAGGTTTACCGATATATAATCGCGTTAATTGTCCAGCTGCATTATTTTCGCGCAATATTCCAGGGTCAATGCGAGCGCCACGTGCGTTCTCGAAAGTGCACGCGACTCGAATGCTCCTCGTATAATAAAAAAAAAACCCGCTATCGCTACTTTATTTCCGAATTTCGCTTAAATTATCACAAATCATTTCTCTCTCGTCTGCGAGATAAACTGATAACATCGTGCGCCGTTCCTCGCATGTTCGACGGACGAAGGAAAAAAAAACGACCGATATCGCGACATGCTAAACATAGAATTCAAATGCGGGATATCGTGTTTCAAAGTTCGACTTATCACACTTATCAAATTATTCACGCGTAATCGTAAAGACTCGACGGGGCGGCGCGGCGGGTGCCGAAGTTTCGAAAGTTCCGGATCGGTCGGGATGGCGGGCGGGCGGGCGGACGGGCAGGGGAGGGGGAGGGAAGTATTTGGAATGTATCTCGTTGACGAATAACGACCGTACGTGAGCGGAAACCCGTCGTGGGCTCCGCGCGTCGCGTCGAAGATTCGCGGGAGTCGCTCGACGCGCGTACAAAGGCGTCTCGCCAAATGCGCGTAATTGAAGCAAGTATGTATTCCGCTCGCTCGCTCACGAATCGTGACTGCGATTAGAGAGGCAGCGGCGAGTGCAGCGAGACGTTATACGTATACGAACGACGATCGCGCGACGATGGCGCGTGATGAAGAGAAAGATGCTCGTCGGCGCTTATTATGCGCGTTATATCGCGCGTCGTATATTCTCAGAACGAGCCGCTCCACTTAATCCCTTGAGTCGCGCTGACAATTCGTAGAAGATAATGTCTCGGCGCGCGCGCGCCACACACACATACATACACACACACATGCACGCACACACGCTGAATGAAATTTGCAAAGACGGGAATTACAGGCTTTGAACTTCCTGGTTAATGCGAAAGCTTTGTTGTTTTTCCATCGAGAGAGAGAGAGAGAGAGAGAGAGAGAGAGAGAGAGCACGCTTTATATTAAATGAAAGTGGGGCATCAAAGTTCTTCGAAAAGGAGGATGAAGGAATTTCTCACTAGATGAGAAAGAGAAAATGTACCGTGACGACGATTTTGCATCGATCTCGTCGAAATTCTGCTTGACAAGCATTATATGATATTTTGCGGTAATCTAATATTATCTGAATTATCCAATTGCGACGTTCCTGTTAGTTCGCAGATCACGGGAGCACAGAGAGAGGGGGGGGAGGGAACACGAGGGGCATGCATGTGTGGAGACTGCAAAACGTTGACAGAAATATTGCATATCGTGTGTGACACGATAAAGCGTAGTGACTGAACGGAGTAATCGGTCCGCGATACATAAAACATCGGGTAAACGATCGGCGCGTGTCGAAGGCCAATGACGATACGACGCAATACGGTAACGTGGCTGTGTCGTGATGATATGTCGTTGTCGTAGTCGTTGCTCGTCGATGCGACCTGCGTGTTAATCGCCTCGGCTGCTTCTTTAAGTGGCTCGCCGAGTAAATTATCAAAATGCACCAGCCTCGTGACAACGCGCGAACTCGCGCAATCCGGCGCGGCGGCGTGAATAAGGCCGGCTTTTCGGCGTAACTGCACATGACGAGCAGGAGCCCGCCCTTTACGAAGACGAAAAAATCGATGAGCCGATCGATGCCTGTCATCGATCAAAAATTTAAACATCGCTATTTGCACGAGTGCCCGATAAAAATGTATCAGCCTCTGTTTTTGTGCCATCGTGATAAAGTCGGTCTTCTAAGAAATTAATGATCCTGCTAACATTTCATCACGGGTTAAAATCGTTAAAATCGCGCGAGGCGAACAATTCCGATGAAGCTTCGATACATGCGCGATGCGGATTTATTTCAAAGCGACACCAACACACAAAGGACACTTCACCTTGGATTTCTATTTAATTCTATATCGGATAATCGGATAGATACTAGAATATTTTCAGGAGCACAGGCGTTCTCTACTTGGAGAAGTCAAAGGTCAAATATATTTAACTTCGTAACGACTAGGAGGTATTTTAACTCTGCTGAATCTTCGCCGCGCGTCGAGGCGGCGGGATCCACGTAGGATCCTCGTGGAGAACTCGGGAGATTCAAGGTCCGTCGAGCGAGAGCGGGAGAAAACGCCGTTACTGACGTAATCTAACGCGCGCGGATAACGATTCGCTCATATTCTCGCCTCGTTCCACCGTAATCGTTTCGCTTACCATTATCGGCGTCGGCGTTGAGGAGAGAAAAAAAAACGAACATTTATTTCTGCTCGCCAATGAAGTCATTGTGCTATAAAGGCGATTATTATAAAGGGGGGAAACATTCCGCGCAGATTGCACATGGCAAAAAAGTGGACGTGGGCAAGGACAATCTCAACTCGACGATAAATTACGATCGCACCGTTGTGCCGCACGCCGCGCGGTATCGATCACTCGCGCTTCACCCTCGGGGATACTCGTAACAAGCTCGTTCCCGTGTCATTCATTCTCTTTCGTGGATCCAAAAGCCTGTGCTTTGTTAAAAAAAAAAACCGAATGTAACATGCATGAAAGGAAACCATGCTGGATACAAACTGGAACAAAAATGTCTGTTTGATTAAATTTGATTACATTGTGTGGGATATATCACTATTTCCTGCTTTGCACGATAAAAATAATAATTTAGGAGCTCACTTTAAAAAAGACGCCTGAGTGATGTAGCCACATTTTGAAAGAAAAGAAGAAATGATCGTATTTTTGAAAAAAAAGTGGAAAAGAATCGAAGTAAACAATAGAATATAGAAAGCCAAAAATAAAATTGCATATAATCTGTACTTTTATCGTAATTTTGTATTTTCTTAATTATTGCGTCTTTTTCGGGTGAACTCTCATCGGGTTGTTGTAAATATTCTTTTCTATATCCGCTTCGAAAAGTTCCCAGAGTGATTTGGATATTTCCGTTTATTTATGTTTGAATATGCATTAAAGAGCGTGCGTTTGAACGATGTATACATTTTCAGGAGCATATGTCGGGCCGTCCATACCGTTGGCACCGGCCAACGTCGCGGCCAACGGTGGAGGATCGCCTCTTCGTCCAAGAACGAGTCCTCCACCGCCACCGCCGCCGAGCCAGGAAGGCGCCAACGACAATACGCAGTCCAATCATCATCAGGTATGCACGAGACGCACGTCTTAATTATCAGACTAGCGCGGCTTCAGCTGGCCGGACCTGATTCACCGCGCGACGAATCCATATTTATCCGCGCGGAAATCAACGTTTCATGCGCGCCTTCTGGCCTGCCGAACGCCTACGCGAGCGAGTCCATTATAAGCCTGATAATCCTAGAACGTCAGCTGACGGGGTGACGCTTCCTCTTTCAGGGCACGGCGAACGGCCCGTCGCCGATGGCCGCCCTAATGTCGGTCGCCGACAATCTAACATCGCCTGAGCCGGTGCCACCGCCGAACAATCCCAGCCCCACCAGCAGAAGTCCGCCGACCACGGCCGCGAACGCTCAGCAACGCAGCGCTTCTAGAGGCTCCCAACACAGCCCGAACAGTTCAGGTAATTTCAGTAATTAATATTATATTTTTTCTTATTTATCTCTTTATATCTTATATCTATATATTTTATCTATTATCTTGATATACACGTCACATGTGTATTTATGTATGGCTTACTACATCTGTATCTTATCAGATTTTTTTATTGACGAATCGTACGATATATTGAAAGAACTTTTAAAATGTTAAAACTGAGCTCGATCGTAAGATTAGAACGAGGGAACGTGGAATAACGGTCGCGAAAAAAATCGTATTAAATTTGCAGGCTCGTCGGGCAGACGGTCCAGTAGTTCAAGGCAGGTGTCATCGACGACCGTGACGACGTCTTCGGAGGGCGCGGTCGCTCAAGCTGCCGGCGCTGAACCGGTCACGGCGCCGACCCTCAAATGTACTCTATGCCAGGAGCGCCTGGAGGACACGCATTTCGTGCAGTGCCCCAGCGTGCCGCATCACAAGTTCTGCTTCCCATGCAGTCGAGACAGCATAAAGAGACAGGGTGCCGGCTCGGAGGTGAGTAGCGGTTTCGCGCTTTTTTGGTACTCCTTCCCTTTTTGGTACCTCTTCCCAAATATTTCGTCAACAAACCTTACCAACGGTTTCCGTTCTCGTTTTTCGTTTCAGGTTTATTGTCCGAGCGGCGAGAAATGCCCGCTGGCGAACAGCCAGGTACCGTGGGCCTTCATGCAGGGTGAGATAGCTACCATCCTGGGCGAGGATACGGGCACCGGGCTCAAAGTCAAGAAGGAAAGAGAAACTTAAAGACCCTCTTTCAATGTTTGAATCAGGGCTCAAATTTTCTGTCCCTCTTTGTACAGAGGGGCTGTTATATGGTTGGAACCGTGAAGGGTTTCACCGAACGCTTTTGGTAACGGTGATAAAAGACTCGTTGGCGACACGCGGGAAAGCCAACGAACGACTCGAGCCAAAGACGTTGTCTGGTGCGATACGGATTCTTACGAAGTTGTTGTCAATGATAAGGGGGTTGGTACAGGGGGGGAGGGAAGGGAAAAAACGAAAACGATAGGGTGGGATTAAGATTGGGGGGGAGGGGGGAAGTGGACGATTTGGTTTTATTCGAAGGGGTCAATGACGTGTTTTTTAATAATGCGATCGGTATCGTACGGTATTTTATCTCTTGTGACCGGTTTTGAGAAGAAGTCTTTGGCAAATTGCGTATTTGGCGATCGATTGTTCTGCTGCACACATGTACATACGGAATTTCGTAGAGAGCGGTTGGAGTAACACGACGGAAGCAGCGCAATTATTTTTCGCGGATTAGAGGAGCAGTGCGCGACGTTGGGATCGCGACGGCAGTGATGCTGACGATAATTTGTTGCCCGGTTGGGTTTGTACTTAGGCTCGATATGCCTTTCTTCATTGTCTCTTGTATCGCGGGCACAATTGCTCGCGTTCTTTTACACAACACACACAGGATACACATACAGACACGCGCATTGCAGAGACACTTGTACATTACACGACAAACATACACACAAACAGGTACACCGTATACAATGTACAAGACACGCACACTTCGAAACGGAAACATTGACTTGGTATCGCGAAACGTACGCGACCGCATTGTACTTTATTTTTTTTTTCTGCGCGCGTCCAATCGGATGATTGGAGTCGTGGTTTTAATTAATGACTAACGCGAGAGACAAGTATGGTCTCCGCGGCTAACGCCGCCCCTTTTTCTATTCTTTCGTTTGTATACTCTTTCTACCTATACTCTTCACTCGTTGTATTATATAAACATACGGCGGACATTTGGACCCAGCGCACGGGTTTTCTGTACATTGTGTATATGTGTACATACCTATATTATTAATAAAGCGTATAACTAAAAGAATTTTTAACGTTTTTTAAGTGTACAAAAATCTATATTCGTTTTTGCGTTTTGTCTTATTAAATTATTATCCTCTGTCTCTCTTTCTCTCTCTCTCTCTCTCTCTCTCTCTCTGTTTTCTTTCTCTCTTCCTTTCTCTCTTTATTCTCGTGAACGAAGTTGTATATCGTCATCTCTCCGAAAGACGATTTTTGACGTCTAGAGACAACACGACGTCTTACCTTATCTGTTTCTTCGGTTTCTCGCTCGCGAAGGCACACGACGTTTGCGTTTTTACTCGCGCTCCTTACACACGCGCTCGCGTCCGGTTTTCGGGGAGGGGAGGAGGGAAATAACAAGAAAAAAAAGTAGAAGAGTCACGTAAGACACGTGAGCACATCGCGCCATCCAGTCACCTCCGCACAAGCGGATTATGTAATATGATAATGTCCGACTGTACAACGTCCACTTTCGCCTTTAGTTTATGCGCTAGACCTTAAGTCGAGGGCCTTTTGGTTTTTCATTTTCACCGATGAAAAAGGCACGCCCGTCAAAATAGGAACCACATACTCGCTATGTCTAAACGATTAAAAAAAAGAAAAGAGCGAAGGGGAATAAAGGCAGGCAGAGGCACTCGCTGGACGCGCCCTCGAGGGGGGATCCTTTTCCGCGCGACGATCATGCGATGATCCTCTCGCGGGAAGGGGTGCCCTCTTTTTTTCTTAGGCGCGCGCGCGCGGGCGGCTCCTTTTGTATATATTTGTACAAAACAGATCGGCACACACAGATACACATACATAAACATTCACACACACGTAACATACGTACATACACACACATGAGCGAAAGGGGAGCGGTTGTCGGAAGTTGTCGCGGGGGAACGAAGCGCTCGGAAAAACAGAGGATTAAAAAACAAGAGGAGAGAAAAGAGAACACTTGTGTGTCGCGCCTCGTCGTACCGCGGTCGGATTTCGCCGAGGCTCGAGATATATCCTCCGCCTCCTTGTCGACGGCACGCTCCCTCGATTTAGCGGCGATGGGTGATATTTCGAAGCTTTACGTGTCGCGCGGGCATCTCTCCGCTTCAAGTGCGTCTAAACTTTTAATGCCGTTACGTCGTATCGCGTATCGTAGAATTATCAGCGTGACGATATACATCGAAGATGATACGATCGCGCTTTCATCGCGATTCGTCTCGATTGCTCGCGACTCGTAATAAAACTATCCACCTATTGGCAAAAATTAACAAATAAAACAATTGTTGTGTATATCATAAATTGTTGAATGTATTTTCATCGTTGCAGTGCCGAGCGCGAGAGGGACGTGTAACAATCGGTTTAGATATAAAATATATTGAACAACAAATATGAACATATATGAATAATTGTTTCTTAATCTTTCAATAAGCGCGTGCGCGTCCCTCAGTTCTGCTCGTGTATTATTGCTGATCTCGCTGACGATACGTGAGTACCAAGTTGTTGCGAGTCTAGACGCACTTCAACCTCGCGCAAAAGCCGGCGATGTAGACATCGAGAGGAGCGCTCGATAGCAATACCTCTTACAGCTGTAACGCGGCACTCGTCGTCGAATTACGGTCGGGACCGAGGGTAGGCTTCCCTTGCGGAGGCACACCTCGATCCGGGCCGGGACTCGACGATTGGCCGCTCACGATCCTTTCTCACGCAGGACGTCTGTTCTCTCGCGCGCGCGGGTTCGCGCTCCCCTGTAAACATGTTAAATCCGTAATGAGTCCTTGTAACCGGAGAAAAACGAGAGGGATCCTCTCTCGACGTCGAGGGCTTGGTCGTCGCGTGCCGTATCATCCTCCACGTCCAATCACGTTACAATTTTCGTGTATATATATATCCGTTGTATTTCTCTTTCTGTCTCTCTTTATCTCCACCGAGATAAAACGGCAAATCTCTGAAGATCATCTCGTTTCATACCAGATTTCGTTTCTCGAGACGGTGCTTTGTCGTATAAATTCCGCGACGCCAAGATTATCAAGATTGCTTGACATATACATCTCCGTTGTTGTCGTTATCGCCTTATTGTTGTTATCGTTATCGGTTAACTGGGGATAAACGAAATTGGGGTGCGCAGGGAATAAGAGGGTGTTGCTGAGCAACAGGACGACGCCTTGAGATTACGTCGGGATGACGGGTGTTGTGGACGCGATGTGGCACGTGCGAAACTCGCTTGCTTTCCATATGACGACGACCAGGCCCGCTCAAAGTCGCCAAATTTCTGGCTTCTCTCTCTTTTCGATGAGGCGCGGCACGGAGGGAACGCGCGCGATAAAGTCCTTCCCCGAGCGAAAGCGAAAGAAAACGAGGAAGTCTCACGCTCGTATCGTAATTCGTTTCTTTTGTCTCCTGTCGTCCTTCTTTCTGGTTTTTTTTCTCCTTTTTTTCCTTCTTGAACGTTTCTCATATAGCTAACGCAGATACACAAAGTCGAAGAGATATGACGAAACAATACGTCGAATAGCAATTGTGTAGTAGTGGATAATGAAAATTTTCTAGTATACCATACCTCGAGGAACGCGTAACATTGTACTGTTTATCGTATGTATGCAACAAGCAAAAAAAAAAACAAAATATATGTGTTGATGTGAATGAATGCGTTTTCCTTTTATTCTCCCACAACACGAATCACCTCCGCGGCGAACTTCCGCCGTCAAATCGCGTATCCGTCCGTTTTGCGAGAACCATTTTTATGACAATATCGTAATAACAGTTTTTGACAGCGAAAGTTTACGTAGGTAAACTGTAAAGAACGTTTGTTATTTACTCCTTTATTTTTCACGTCGCTTTCACTACGCCGTTGAATACGGCAATATTGACACGAAAATTGATCGTGTGACGTGTGTCAATTTCCGTCTCTTATCTAGACAGCTTAAACTTTTCATTTTCTAAGATTAAAGTGGCATTGTGACCAATATTTGCCCGTCTAAATTTAAAGGTCACTATGAATGGGGTCGATTTGCGAAAACGAGATGAAATTTTAAATGCTATTTGATCATCCTTTACACGTGGACTTTCCACGTTTCCTGTTCCTGATAGTATTGCGAAAACCTGTATTATTATGTATATATATATATATACCCACATAATATAAACACTTGAAAATGTATACAGCGACCTTAAGCCCGAACGTCCGGGGTCCGCCGAGTCGAGGGTGCGAGCCCTCGCGAATCGTGAAAATCAATGCCAATATTCAGCTGGGCGGGATGAAGGAAGGAGGGCGGAACGAGGAACGCAACGTGGCGGAATATTGATCTGTGCACGTTCCAGACGGCTCGGAAGGCACCATCTCCCCGCGCTGTTGTATATAGCGTTGCGCGATGACTCCGCGCGCTTAAAGCGGATGAGGCGTAAATTATTCAACGCCCGCGATACACGCGACGAAATGGACCGGGACAAATAAGATCGATCCTCCTCAGACAGAGGAGTCTAATTAACGTGGAATGCTCGCGAAATCGTTTCTGCGAAATTGAATCAGTCCGAACGGATCCGAATTAAGTGTCATCTTTCCTTGGCGGACGTTGATTGAAAATGAAGGAAAAGGATAATTTTCGGAAAAATCTTGTACTCGAAAGCTCGCGATTATGGCGTTAACGATGGCAGAAAGATTTCGATTATATTTGGATGACCTACAAAAAGATGTGCAGAAATGCTAAAAAACGCGCACGATTGTATGCGCAAAAAATTACGCCTATCAATTTAATTTGCGAAGGAAAAGAAGCTTTTCCCTCTGTTTTTCTTTTTTTTTGTTTCTCCGTTCCACGCAAAATTCGCAAAATGTAGGATCGGGGTTCCTCGCGATGGGCGCGCGCGTCTCGCGCCCGAGCTATCTTTCGCCTTTAAGGGTCAACATTCTCGACCGTTACCGTGCATGGAGACCGTTATTATGCGATAGCTCGCCGTAACAGGGTGACGAAAGCCGCGCGACGCGATAGCGCGTCGCGTAAATTACCAGCCGCGGTGACTAACGCGAGCCGACGACGCGATCACGCCTCTGCGATCGTGCGCCAGATAAAATTGCGAGATATCGGACGCGGCTCCCCCGCCACCCCGCCCCGCGGCAAACAAGCTGCGCTCCGCGTGCACGTTAATCGCTGTGACTTTGAAGATTAGATACGCGATATCGCGTATCCGAAATGCAGCGGCAAATATTTTCAGGCCACGTTATAGCCACGTATTAGAGATCGTGACAATCAATTTGAATTTCTTAAATTCCCTGCGAAGGCGTCGTCCGGCGAGATTGAAAGGTATAAGTTCGGTAATGAAATAAAAATGGAAAATGAAACGAGTCATATATACTTTTAAAATTTAAAGGCTATAAAAATGATTAAATCCGATTATCGAGGTTCCCGAGAGAGCAAACTTAAAATTGATAAATATAATTTATTTAATTCATAAATGTATATTTCGAAATCGTTCTTTAGAACTTCGAACGATCGCGTAAGGATTTTAATCATGCGTGACACAATATTTCTGAGCGAATGAATATTTCGCCTTGCGGGCTCGCGGAACGCGAATCTTCGACCGGTTGACACACGGACGAACGTCGATCCGTCGTCTTTAAAAGACGTCGTGCATTACGTACCTTTGACGTACTGTTATTGATCACGCGCGCGAAGAAGCGTTAAAGCGACCGAGGGTTTCTCGGCAGGCTTAACGCGTGCATCGGAAAGAGAGAGAGAGAAAGAGAGAGAGGATCTCGTTGACGTCATTCGACGTCCGATCGGCACATCCATCGGCCTTTCGCTAAATTAGTGTCCTTGCCGCGCGCCTGCCGAGACGCATCTGCTTTGTTGTGGCACGCCCCGCGTGACATTTCCTTTGAAAAAATGCCAGCGCGATTTTCCCCGTGGACGCGTTTGACGGAGGAGCGCGGGAGAGAGGGGGAAGGTCCGCGGAGGAACGCATCCCTCCGCGCGATGACGCATAGGGGGGTGTCGAGACGCGAGGAACGGTCATCCGTGTGTAACGCGCCGTGTTTCACGCGCGAGTTAATCGCGCAGCAAAAAGCGCCGGCGTGTTATTCACAGGTCAAACGCTACGAGCGAGCGGTATCGGCTGGGAGGATATCCTTGCGCCGCCATATCATTCCCTTTTCTTCCCCTCCCCCTCTTTTTATTGACACCTCGCGAAATTCGTTTCTTAAAATGTCGGCCCGATTCTGAAGTGATCAAATCTGAGAGACAACAATTGGGCGCGGTGAAGTCTCTCGGGTAATCCAACAGCGACGCGACGAAAGTGCTCGGCGGCTGACTCCGGCGCGCAGATTTGGAGCCTCCCCTTTAAGGATCGATACTGTTGTCTATAGAAACGTCGGTTGCAGCCGACCGGGGATCGCGGAAGGTTCGACGACGTAGCTGAACGTAGCGCGGGAACTGCTTGATTTCCAGTCGTAGTCGGGAAAGAGCTGGAACGAACGGGAGGGCGACCACCCTCGCTTGGAGGAGTGAGCGAGAGCGACAGCGAAAGAGATAGAAAGATAGAAAGAGAGAGAGAGGGATTCAGAGCTTTATTATCGCCGGTCCTTGAACTCGCCTTTACAGCGCGAACGTAACGCCAACGTTCTTCCGTTCTTTCGTTTTTCCAAGTCGAGGTACAGCATTTCTGATTGACATCGATCGCTATAGAAATAATTATTTTTATATTTCGCTTATACACTTTACTCGTGTTTATTTTTGGTGACGTTATATTTATTTGAATAAAATTATCTCTTCATTTTGCAATTAAACGGAAGTGTAAATTCTGAATGTAAAAATGATTCTTATTTATATTAGGTCAAAATTTTTTTTAACTTTTTGTCTCGCCCCATAGAATAGTTCCATTTTATGAAAAAAATAATCTCTATAAAATTTTAGCTCAATTGGATAACGAGAAAGGATGCCGAAGAACATCTAATAGTCCTAAAATAGAATATCATAACACAAAAAAACAACATACGAAGCTAGTGTTATAACAAATCTATTATATATGTATATATATATATATATAAATAAAACAGTAAAATATTATTGGTTTGCAGAAATTATATCGCATATTATAATATGAGTTATAATTAGACCATTTATGATGTGATGTTGTGATATTATATTACAAATGATCTAATTATGTCTTAACTTAATATGCTATATAATTTTTGCAAACTAATAATATTGTACTCTGTTTCCCGTTGTTGTATACTAGCTTTCAAAATTAAGAAAAAAATAATTGTCTTCGTTGTCTTTTCCCTTGAATTCACTCAATTGGAGTGTCGGTGTTTTAACGTTACGCTTAATATTTTCATTTTTCCGAGTATCCCCGATAATTAAAGAAATTTAACAAGCCATGAACAAAGATATACACATGCATATAGACATGTTACAAAATAACTTAAATGACTTAATTAATAAAAAAAAATTAAAAATTTTACAAAAATTAAAAAATTACGAGGAATTAATAACTACAATTGAATAAGTGTAAAAATGTGTCAATATTAATAATTTTTCAATTATAATAAATAATATAATATATAGATTGTATATATATATATATATATATAATCTATATATAACATACAAAATATTAAGCATAGAGAGCGTTAAACGTATCTTTGGAAAGTTTAATGTTTTGTCAAGATTAGAAACGTCAAAAGCAGTTCTAAAGCGGTCTAAAGCGGATCTTGGTACTTAATAATATTTTTGTATGAATATTGCAATTTTTAGTTCAAGTAAACTGCACGCCAAATTTTTTGTCGGTCTTGAATCAGCTCCAAATTAAATTCGAACTAGCGGTAATATCATAATTACATTGACAAGCAATTTAACGACTTCTTTATGCTAATGAGCATCAATGATCTTATTAGCATCGATTTATAGATTTCATATTAATGTTAATGTTTCGTCTTTGCTGTTGATGTTGAGTGTGCGTAGTTGCACTCGTGATGATTCGCGAAACTATTTTCTTAATCACGATCATCATTGTTTGTCTATTTCCATTATAATTAGGGTTAAACATCACGTGCACACGTCCAAGGACACCGTGCGCCGCGCTTGCCAATTGATGCATATTTTAAAGCGCGCGATGGACATTGTTAGGTCGCTTACGTGCGGATATTTAGCCATTAATGTTTCATTGTACGGCATGCGACACGTTTTATTGTGTGCCGCGGGAGAAAGAGCACACAGCCGCATTATTTTTTCACGCTCTCGCTAATGCGACACGTGGTTGGTAATGTATCGTGAATGTACGCGGTGATCACTCTAATTATTTACCGTCGCTCGCGCGGAAACTTTCTTCGCTTGATAACCTTTTGCAAAATTTATTTTAAGTCCACTATTTTCATTTGCTGCATTTAAATAATTAATACGATATAGGTAGTAATTAACCTGTAAAGGCTACGTCTCTTTCGAGTGGGTTTGCTTAACACGAAATTTTGAAAACAATTACGTTTTTTTTTTTTTTTCAAAAAATTTAATACCAATCGATTGATCAAAAAATTTTACATATTAAGAAACACGCATTTTGCTTTAATTTTGCTTTTTATTTTCAGAAGATATAAAACTTTAAAAACGCTTGGTGCGAATTCGCACCCAGGTGTCCTTTACGGGTTAAAATACGCATGCGAATTTCCTGAAGACGTTTTGATTAATTTTTCACTCTATCATTCGCCTGTGATAAAGATTTGAAGAGATTGCGTAAATATTAATAATAATATAGCGCGACGCGGAGAAAAAACATTATTCCAGACGAGTATCTCTTTTTTGTTACAGGGAAAATTCGAGTTCTCCGGTAACGTGCAACGACGGATTCTGTTCCATGACGTCTCCCGGGGAGATGACTTCCGTTCGCACGTGCTACTGCAAACACGAGGGGAATGTAGCGCGCAAGAAGGATAATGATATCAGAATACACAATGGGAATCGACATCCTGCAACTGCTGCCGTATCTAAAAAATCGATAGTCACGAATGCGACTTGCGAAGGCGGCAGGGAATCTTGGAAACGAGCGAGATGCGTTACTAACGCCGGAACGGTACTGAGTATTCATGATTTTATTTATCTAGCGTTCAGTCATCCGAATATACTGCAGTTTCACTATAAGTACGTCATCGATTGCAGCTCAATACGAATCGATCGGTGGAGGCGCAGCCTTCCAATCCCGTTCTAAGTCCCGAGACGTCGACCGCGCTCGAAAACGCCGAGAAGATTATTAACAATGCAAAGAGACAACTCATGGAAGTCTGCGTAACGTCGAGTTTCGATTCCGCACGACGGAATAGAAATACGTGAGTAGAAGAGAAAAGGAGCTTTACAGAAACATATATTTTCATCTCATTTTATTTGGAAGTTACGAGTCCCTCCTTCCGCAATTGCGATTGTTCTTACTATATACAATTTCTACTGTAATTTATATTACGATACATCATCCGAAAACTTCGATTTTAAAAGTTACTCAATGGATCTCAATTTAAATTATACATTTAGTGTTTGCGATGTTCTAAGTTATATTTCGTCTTTTGCCGATCGATTACAATATTATAGAAAAAAATTAGGTAATAAAAACCTAAATAAATATATACAATACTAAAAATTCTTCGTTTAGATAATTTATATTATTTGTCATTTATGTAATTTTTATTACACAATGCATCATTTGTGTAATTTATGTTATTGCGTTCAGATATTCGGACGAGCCGCCGTTGGACGACGAGATGGAAGAGCGGCTGTACGTTCGCGAACTGGTGGCCTCCAGGTTTCACAACGTCTGCTCCTCGGGATTATCAGTGGCGAATGGCAAGGCGACCGCACGTTCGGAGAAACGTGACTTTCCTCATGTCACCGTACGCAAAGTCGATTTGTCGGCGCCGAAATTTCGGGTGTCGCGACGACAGCGTGCCAACTGGTGGTCGTCCCTCGGATACGGAAGCTCGGATCAGTCGCGTGAACGTGCGTCGCCTGCCCGAGTATCGTCACCGGATTCGATCGACGTCGTTGACGAAGCGCCCGCGCGCGACGATCGTGCTCGCGAACGTCGTCGGCGAACGTTGTCGGCGCGCGGGGACGCGTGCGAGATCCAAGTAGGACCGTCGGTGCACATCGTCGACCGGGAATTGACCAGGCAGGACCTCGAGGATGTGCACATCTCGCCGGAGTCGTCCCGGGCGCAGAGCTGCGCGAACACGGCTACGTACACCCTGCGTCACGACGCGATCCGGAACGCGGATGGCGGGACGAACGAAGCTCAGGAAGTATCAGGGGCGCCGAGGACTCGACGCGTGAGATTGGATACGTTACAACGAGAGAAACCGACCGGCAGATCGATTACCGAAGCTGCGGCCGAAGCGATACGGATGACTTCCGCGGGCAAATTGGAAAAGGACCTCGAAGACGTCAAGAGCCCTGATTCTGCACGGAACGACGGACGAATCAGTTCCTCGAAAGTTCGAAATTACAGACAAGAGCGGAAGGATCGGGAATCCGACCCGCAGGATACCGGAAGAACATCCGAAAGTTTGAAAAACGCGAGTCGAGGAGCGATCAAGTTCGCCGTGATTGAGACTCCGAGAACTGATAGGGATGAGAAATTGGAGAACAACGCGAGAAACGAGAATCACGGGGGAATCGCCCCCGGCGGTGATACGAAGATCCGCCACGCGGAGGATGACGAAATATTCTGCAAGAGGATCAGCGGTGCCGGGCGTCCGCGAAACAACGAAAGCACTGCGGACAAGATCCAGGCGACGGAAAACCGAGGCGAGCCATCAAAATCGTCGCCCGGCGGCGACACCTCAAGGAGGGCGGGTTGTAATCCTCGGCGCGAAAATACCGCTTCGCGCTGTCGCGAGGCGGAAAGTCCGAGACCTTATCGCACGACCGATAGACACTTTTCGCACACGTTCAACAGTCATAACGGGCAGGATGGACTGCGCGACGTCGCCGGCGTGTCTCTCGCCTCGGGCTGCACGGACGACGTTTTCCGGGAGACGACTTTCGCGGAGGACGATTCGGACGAGATCGACCTGTACCGGCCGCGTCTCGACGACTTGGACTCGATTCTGCACTCCAACGACAGGAAAATCGAGCGTGTCGCTCGCACGGCCAGGAATCTTTCGGAATTACTGTCGGGTCCTGAATTCACGATATACAAGCTGGATGAAGACGTACGAGCGCCGCAGGATCGCGAGAAACTTGGACGGGACTCAGCCGACAAGAATCGCGAGCACCCGTTCGCGTCGAGCGATTTGGCTCAATCGTCAGTTTTGGAGATTGAATTGAGAAACGAGGACCTGACGATCTCGGAGGCACGTCGAACCGACGAAGATTCGCGGGGAACGAACGCGGCGGCGGGGACGAGCGCGAAATCGTCGACTTTCACGCGGGAGAACGATTCTCGCGGCGATTACAACTCGGTCGAATCCAGCGTGTTTCCGGCGTCGGACGCGAGCGACGGCCCTACCAGGGCATCTCGCGACAGCGACAAAGCGCAACAACAGTCAGCGGCTAAGGCGCGCTCGTCGGACTCGTCGTTGGACCGATTGGACGTCACGACGTTTTCCAACCTGGCGCCCGCGTTATCCAGCACGCGCACGGAGACGCAGGCGTGTCGTTATCGGGACGAGAAAGTCGCTCAGGGTGATCGTCACCCCGCTAAGTCACGCGTCACATCAGCGAGCAAGTTCCCGAAGCGCGAGATCCGTCGTTCCGGCACGGAATACGCCGACGACGGAATCTTCGCGCGGCTTTTCCGGAAGGACGCGGACCCGTTCGTCGCCTGCCTCCTGCAGGACGAGAAGCGGAGCGTCGAAGGGAAGGTCGCCCTGACGGAGTCGACGGTCGCGCCCGCGGCGATACAGAAGCTCTTAAATCACTTGCGCGAGGCCGAGTCGATCCGCGACGCGCGTCAAACGGAGGACACCTTGGATATTCTGAGAAATATTCTGATTAACGTTAAAAGTCAGTCCGTTCAAGGAAACGCTCACGACAAGGACGCGTCTCCTCGAGACATTCCCGATCCCTCGGCTCGTACGAACGCGCCGCCGAGCGCGATCGACGGGTTTACGTCGCGAGGGGAAAACGCGCCCGCGCAAACGCCAGCGAAAATCGACGCGAGCGAGATCGAGCGGGTTGCCAAAAGTTCCTGCGAGCTTAAAGGTCTCGGCGAGCGCTCCACCGACTTTTCCGAATGTCGCGAAGCGAGAGAGAGCGCTCGCTCTACGGCCCGTTGCGAGTCTACGCGACATCCTGAGAATAATAGCAGGAGAGACACAGGTCGGACGGAAGGCGCGGACGTTGCGAGGACTGTTCCGATCGAAAATGTCAAAAGTCAAGCGGATAGAGACGCCAGCGAGATTAATCCGAAGAAGGAGGGGACGCTTCCTCGGAACGTCACTGGTTCCCTGATTCGCACGAACGCGACGTCGTCGGACGCGATCGGGGAGACAACTTTGCGAGCAAAAAATAATACGAGCGATACCGGGCGGGTCGCCGGCGAATCTAACGATTTCGAGAATCCCGATAAATATTTCTCTCCCGCGATTCCGGAAGCGGGAGAAAGCGTCCGTTCCGCGGCTCGCTTCGAGGCTGCACGAGGCTCTGAGAATAACAGCAAGGGGAACTCGTGCTCGGAGGCCGAGTCGTTAAAGCATATCTCCGATATTCGTAGCGACGAGGACGAAAATCCTGGGGAGAATCCCGAGCATTTGTCTGCGAAGGTTGCATCTGCAGGGTCGAGGGAGGGACGCGAAATGGAAGCCGCCGATTCGGTTGTCGCAATCGCTGTAGCCGATAACCAAATGGATGACGTAAATACGGACAGATTTGGAGAAAGTAAATCGAACGATGTGCAAGCTAATAAAGATCAACATGCTAACAAGATCGTCGCGGCCGATCGGGCGATCGACGCGCGATCAGATATCCCGGAAGAAGCCGCAAAGGGAATTGCAAGCGAGAAAACGCGTGACGGTACCACGCCGGCGGACAAAAGGGTATTATTCGCACTTTCGGAAGTTTCGGAGATGAAGAGCGAGCTCGCTCGCCCGGACGCGAGCCCTGTCGGATCGAAGGCCATCGACGGAAGTCCAACGAAGACAGACGTTGATCTCGTACATCCGGCGGCGAAGGAAGACACCGTATCTTTACGCCGAGCGAAAACTGACCCGCAACAGGCTGCAATTAAGGAGATCAGTCCCGCGGATAATGGTCCCTCGGTCGAGCCTCCGCGAGACTGCGTTCTGCCGAGCGCGAAAAGCGGCGAGTCATCCTTGCGGGAAATCGCGTCGCGTAGCAAGCAAATCTCCTTCGACATCGCGGGAAAGGACGACTCGACGAGGAGCACGGGGAACGAGGGAATTCGCAAGTCGCTCGCGGCGCGGACAGTCGAAAACCGCAATGACGGAAATGGAATCTCGGAATCTGAGAGAGCTGAGACGAGAGGCGATAACGAGCGGCAGCCGATCGATTTGACAGAGGCGCGGAGGTATAAGATAGATGTCTTGTCCAGCTCCAATTCTAGCGTCAGCAGCATGCTGCTGGACCACGACAGGTGAATATAAAAATGTCAATAATTCAATCGTTTATTCCGGAAACATGTGATCGTTTTATTTTTATTGTGTATTTTTTTTTGCAGGTCGATCAACGGCGTGTCGAGTGCAAACGCGAGGAGAGTAAGTGAGAGGTTTTTAATTATTGTAGTACAGAGAGCTAGAGACAGAGACGAGAGGGGAGAGTCGTGTGAAGCACGTACAAAGAGAAATTTTTATAAAATAACATTCGGTCGAAATAGATATTTCGGGGAAACAGATATACGAGGAAATTTCCGCCCGTCTCTTTTCCTTCTCCTCCCCCATTACGATAATGTCATAAATTCCTTATGCTAATGCTGTAAACCGTATAAACGACGTTATAAATTAGCATAGTAATGCGACGGAAACGTTATCGTATTAACCGAATTGTTCCGCGAAACGGCCTAACGACATGATTCGGTCGTAATTGCGTTTCATTGCGCAATCCAAATTTCGCGTTGAAGAAGGAATTCGGGATGTATGTCGTATCGGCTGAATTAACTCGACTCGCGGCTATAGTTCCAGATCGGGACGACCACCCCCGAGACGTCACACTCCGAGGGTGAGCTCTACATGCCGAGCTCGTGCTCGTACTCCCTCGGCGAGGTACGCGTCCTGAGAGGGAAACGCGACTTGATCGAGGACAACGCGATGGATCGCGACAGCAGCGTGACAGTGCTCGTCACCAGGAGCATGCTGACGTCCCTGAACGACTCCACGGTGGTAAGTGCAGCGTCGAGAAGACGCAAGGATCGAGGATGCTGCGACGTATACTATAAACGTACTGAACCCCCCCGTTTCTCTTGCAGTCTCTCCTGGAGAGCTCCGGACGCGTCTAGAAGCGAGCCGCGGATTCTGCGACGGGCGAAGAACGTACGTGACACGTGCGACACTTCGACTTATCACGGGTGGCGCCGATCTTCTTCCTCCTCCTCTCCCAACGATTTTTACTTATATCGCGATAACGAGTCGCGTTATCAATCCGTATAGGACATTTCAGCGAATGCAGCGTTCCTTATACCGATACGGCTGGAAAATTCTATATGTTGCACGACTTGCACGTATGGCTGGAAAATTCTGTATGCTGCACGGATCGCAATATATGTTTCTGTAATATTAATTGTTGGAACATTTTGATCGAGTTGCCTATATATAGGCTGCAAGGATGCTACATATAACGTTCTGTGTGGTATCGAAAACATTCTTTTACCGATTTCGCATAGTTTTTACCATGCAAAAGGATCTGAAGTCACGTATATATAGAAGTGTATTCTCTTATAAAATTAATTATAATTAATAACTTAATTATAAAATATAAAAGAAGACTATAGCAGCGTATATATATATTTCAATCAAATCGCAATTTAATTAAGGATTAATCGGAACAGTGTAACAACGCAGTCATATATCCAATAAATATTATATATAAAAGTTATTTTGCAGATAAGATCGAGTGTTATCTGTTAACCCTGCATTGATCGTACTTTACACTGAAATTTTTCACGATAACCGAAAGTTGTTTGCGGCATTCTCGAGCGATCACGTACCGTAGCTCCGAGTCGCAGAGAAGCAAACGACGTATGAATAAGACTCGAGGAATGGTGCATCTCTTTTCGCGTACATCCTCGAATATCGCGGTCGTGAAACCGAGCGTCGATCTACGAAGCCTGGAAGATCGTTCGGACGGAGGAGCGCGTGTTTACTTGGCGATCACGCACGTCCGATAAGGGGTACACTTCCGGCGGCATGTGCAGCGTGCCGTGCTGCGTCGAAAGGTAAACAATAGGATTGGCGACGCCGACGCGACGAGCGAGAGACGTACGACGTGCGAGAGAGAGGGAGAGAGAGAGAGAGAGAAGACGAGTAACGAGACTGACGAACAGAGGAGACGGACTTCGATTCTAGGAGAAACCGGTGAGATCCCGCCTGATCCCGCCGGCGACGGGTGTCGAGGGATCGAACGAGCGCTGGGATTCCGGCGTGTGTGTCTCAACGTGGCAAAACCTAACCTCGTCCGGCGGCCACCACGTTGCGCAGGTATGAGACTGGCCTCGCGGAAGATTGTACGGACGGTGCCGCGAGGATGAGAGCCGCCGACCGTGGACTCGCACCGGGGACGTCCAGCGAGGGCGAGGGACGGGCGCCGTCGGTCGAGCGCCGATCCGCACGTGATCGGTGTCAGCGCGGCGTGGCCATCAGCGCGAGCGAGGAGAGAAGGATGTGCGACAAGTGTGTCATCGGCTACTGGGTGCCCGAGAGAAAGCGGCAGAAGTTCAACTGGACCGACTTCGAGAGCATATGCGAGTCCGAGGGGTTCCGGTTGAAAATGGTGAGCTGGTGCCTGCTTCCGGCGTGTCTCGTGAGTTACCGACGAGAGAAGGAAACCTCCGAGACGCGTTCTCACGGCGACATTTATACGTAATTTTCTGTGCCCCGGGTAATGTTATTGAAAATAGGTAATGATTCTCTGACCCACGCGCGAAATTTATTTTATTTTCCTGAATTTATGTTGCGACTAAAGAAAAAGATCTATATATTATTTAAATCTTATTGTTGGAATATCTTAAGTATATCTTTCCCTATCCCGATTGCAATACACTTTTTTCCAGAAAGACGTTTCTAGCATTAGATGGAGTAAAATTATATATGGCACATAGTTTCTTAACTTTTTTTTATACTTATTCTTTATTACTCACAAATATCTATGTATATTGGTGTGTATGTAATGTACATATAGAGATGTATGAATGTCGCAGTGCATTAAGCTCAGATTCATGAGTTTGCTAGACTTGAATCGCTGTTGATCAGTCATCTTTGCCGAGATTTTTAATACACGTCTCAACGTTCCTCCTATTCGATTATTTTTGTTTATATTATTTTTGCAAGTGCAACGTTGAAGAGATTTTCTCTAATCTATCTTCAAACCTTCCATCTGCATTTCAGATCGATGTGAATTTAAGCCTCGAGAAGCAGGGACCATTACACGTTTTCTTTCACAAGTTGACAGATATGCAGTCGCATGCAGAAAGTGGTGATAAAAATGTATTGAGGACATTCAGAGCAATACCTTACTCCCCCCGCGTTTGGACTGTTAATGACTGTTACAACGTATCCTTTACAGGCTGAAGATATTGTTTCGCGACTTCAGGAGTACATTGCCAAACATCCAGATCTGATCATTATCGATCCTCTGGACAATATTAGGAACTTAAGCAATCGATGTAAATCTTACGAATTTATACAAGAAGGCATCCGATTTAAAGGTACGCATTTATAATTTGTATAGTTACATAAATACGTGACTGCAAAACAAACTGAATAATGTATTTAACGCTGCTTCACTTCTTTCAGATATATTTACTCCTAACTTTGTAGAAATAAAGAGCAGAAATGTCCATGAGATAGCGTCAACGTTAAAAAAGCGCGATATTAAATATCCATTTGTTTGTAAGCCGCTTATTGCATATGGCTCGAGCAACGCGCACAAGGTAGGTACTTTTCACGAGATTCGAAGCAAATGTTAGAAGCATTCAACGAAAATTCAAGATCATTGGTAAAAATTGCCTTCAACTTTTCAATTTCAGATGATGATCATCTTCAATGAAAGGGACTTGAAAGACTGTCAACTACCTTGCGTCGCTCAGGATTTCATCAATCACAACGCTATTTTATATAAAGTATTCGTCGTGGGCGATCGTTTTCGCGTGGTCGAGCGCCCTAGCTTTAAAAACTTTTACCAAGAAGACTGTAATTCGTTGAGTACGATATTCTTTAACTCGCACGATATATCGAAAAGCTGCAGTAGATCTAAATGGTCTATTCTGTCCGAAGAAGACATTCCTTTAACTGTGAAGCCAAATTACCAAATATTCGAGACAATTGTTAAGAATATTCGTGAGATATTTGGTCTTATTCTCGTTGGGATAGATGTTGTAATTGAGAATCACACTGGGAAGTACGCGATAATAGATGTCAACGTGTTTCCTGGATACGATGGTTATCCGAATTTTTTTGAACATTTAGTAGATAGTATTAAGAAGTTGCTGGCGGAGCGAGGAGCTTGTAGACAAAACTCCAAGGGTTGTACGTTAAAAAAGTGTCAGAGCGACGATCTGGACTCTGGCTTCGAGAGTGATGAGAAGAGGAAATGTTCTACAAAATGAATATGTAACATATGATGTGGATAATATTAATTTTAGGCTAAACTAAGCTGTATTAGTATTAATCGCGGCGTGGTAGCATCGGTATCGGCATTATTATTTCGTATTTGTCTATACATTTTTCTAAACGAAAAAAAATTCGGCTCTTACCAACTTCTCGCGGTTTAATTCTATTGAGTGCAATAATTTTTTTTTAATAATTAAGTTTTTTCCTATCGCGATGTAAATCACACTTGGCGCATCGCATCTTATTTCGTAAACACATACGAAATACGTAGTGTTTGAATTGTTCGCGAATTCGAGTTCTATATTTTGTAATAAAATCCTACAGTACAACATGACTACGACTGCCAGAGAAGATATTTTGTACGTTTTACGTGTATACAATTTTGCATTTCTGCGACGATGTTATATATGCCTGTGAGCTGTTGAAGATATTAAATCATATAATGAAAAGTGTATGCGCGGCGGCGATATAAAATACACGAACATAGAAATAATCGGAATAATTGTGACAGTGTGATTGAAGTAATTTGACTATTTTGAAATTTTAAATTAGTGCTTATCATTTTATAATGTTTTTTTTTTCATAAATGTCAATCTTAATGGAAAATATTACAGGACATCCTGCCCATTACTTTCCGTCGCAATTATGCCGATTAATTCTGAACACACATCCCAAACAATAATGTATACAAGTTATCTCACTTTGAGTGCTCATCTTAAATATTTCAATTTATTTCTTTTTACTATTTATTAAAAGTTATATTATTTATTAAAAGGATGTTTTAAATCAACACAAGTTTTTATGATTTCAGAGGAGAAATGTACACGGCAATAGATTTCTACAGCACTTATTGCAAAATGCGTATAACATTTTTATCTTGCTCGTTATATTTTTCATAGAATCGTAGAACTTTTATCTGAAACTTATCATTTTCTTCCAAAGTGATAAATTATATGAAATATTCAAGACGAGTATTTAGCGTGAGAGAGCAATCTGTATTTATAGAAGTTCGGTGTGATTCTTGTAATATACATATATTTTATTCAGTTACACTGTATAATATGGAAAATAATTCAACCGTTTTCTTATTTATATGTACATATATTTTATATGAATAAATTGTACAGAGAAGTAAAAAACAGTTATGTTGTGATTTAACAAAGTAATAATTTCGAAAAAAAATAGTGATTTAAGAATATCTAATAAAATTTCCATTTATTTCTCGAGAAAAATGCTTTTAACATAACGTAAAATATATATATTAATTTGCACAAATCGAAGCGCATCCGGTATCTAAACTTTTCTGTGTTAACCGTGTGTTTGTATTTTAAAATACGTATGCATTTAATTTAGGAAGAAATTATTTAGTTTGACTTCCGTCTTATCAAAAATTTATTCAGTTAATAACTACGTTATATTTAAATTTCCAGAGCGACTTTTTGCATCCGTAATGAGATACATGCAAAAGTACGAGAAAAAAAATTTAAGAAAAAAAAGTAAATCCGAATATAGATAAAGATAAAAACAAAATCAAAAGTTAATAAAGGTGAAATGCGCTGTCAGTGCTATATGGTACATACTTGACGGCGAAATGGTTAAAAAATCTCATGCAAAATCAATTCCTGGACCGTCGAACTTAGAAAATTATAAATTCAATGCAGAATCAACTGTGCTATTGTCAGTCCCGGCCTTTTTTCTGGGACGGCGATCTGCGGCGGCCGGCGATCTTCCGGATTGTACACTAGCGCCGCACGTCCATTTTCTCGATAGAAGAACTATGTATTACGTCTATTTTGTAACATTGTCGATAAATGCTTCTCTCTGCAGGTAAGCCATGTTACCAATAACACACGTTACCGACGTTAGGACATACAATCGGTATAAGGCGCCGGACTATCGCGCGCGCGGCGCATACGCGCCGCTTATATAGTAGTTGCAATCAGTTGCAATATCTGCATGACTCCGATGTCTTTACTCTGGCGAAGATAACCTCTTCAAACACAACACGAATCTAAAAAGAATACATTTATCCAAGTGTGCCCGGTTTCTGGAAGGACTTAATCACTTCTTCCAGTTTTATTTACTCGATAAGAGATACGGGCACTTTTTGCATTTTGTCTCCTTGAAGAGAATTATTGCTTGCCACTTCGCTATTGCGACATGACGTCTCTTGTCAGCGAGGGAAACCAGGAGGTTCTCGTTGTGTCAGGGAACGACGTGCCTTCAGACGACACGGCAGATTTTATTTCCACGCTCAAGCAACGCGTCGGAGATTCCGGCAAATTGCAAATTGCGAGTTTGTCGGACGTAAAGAAGGGTGAGTGTACATTTCGACTGATTTGCTGACGTTTCCATCCAAGTATGACTCGTTCGTCTTTTTTAAAGTCTTTCTACATATGATGTTAATCTGTTCTGTGTTTGATTTTTTTTTTTTTTTAGAAAGTTACCGTGCATCGATCTTTAATGTCATCATTGCCATTTTTAAACAACCATGCATGAACGAGGACTTCTTAACGGAAGCATTGAGAATTCTGAAACCCGATGGCTCGCTTGTCATTTACGAACCACTGTCAGCAGATAGAAAGCCAGACACAGCACTTACGTATCCCGATAGAATATCTAGATTAAAATTATCTGGCTTCAAAGTAAAGGATACAGAGCCGATAAACTTGGATGCAGATCCAGAGAGTAAAAATCTGCTGCTAAAAGTATATAGCAATATAAAAGATGTTTACAAAGTATCGGCGAATAAACCATCATTTGAGGTAAAGATTTTTTATTTATTATCCATACATAATGAAAGTAGCCGAGACCTTATACAGTTTTTTGTGATAATTCAGGTGGGTTCCAGTATTCCCCTTTCATTTGCAAAAAAGCAGACTACAAATGTATGGAAATTAGATGACCCAGTAGAGGAAGACTTAATAGACGAAGATGAACTTTTAGACGAATCAGACCTTGTAAAGCCGGATGCGTCATCCTTAAGAGGTGAGGTTATGTATTGTTATGTTAAAAAGTATGCAGCGTATTTGTGATTATTTTGTGCACAATGGGACAAAAAAGAATTAAAGACACTTTGCAAATAAATTAAAATCGCATAAATTAGATATAAGATATTATGCTTCTAGTTTGTTCAACAACGGGCAAGCGGAAGGCATGCAAGGACTGTTCATGCGGACTCGCAGAGGAATTAAGTGGTAAAGCTGCCCCGGAAAGCACTGTTAAATCTTCTTGTGGAAATGTACGTTTCATACTATTGTTTTTTCATCGAAAATCATAATATTAAATGCAATTACATAGCTAACTTTGAATTTCAAAATTTTTATGTGTGAATTCTTTTATGTAGTGTTATCTGGGAGATGCATTCAGATGTGCCAGTTGTCCTTATCTTGGCATGCCTGCCTTCAAACCCGGGGAAAAAGTGCTTTTGCCCGAAACTCAGCTAACTGTCGATTCCTAAGAGTTTGTCGTTTTTTTTTTAAGTCGGAATATAATTGTAATAAATGCGTATTATTTTTATTTGTGCAAATAATTGCTCTGTTTTTGTTTTCTGTATGATTCTATTTTATTAATTCTATTTCAAATATTCTTCTATACGATATTAATGTACAAAATCGATAAAAATAATGGTTCCTTAAATAAAAAGTACTTAAACTATATAATTCAATCTTATTTTATATGCTTTTTCTAACAGTAAAATGTATAAGATACGTATATAATAAATGAGATAATCACTAGCAATAGGAATAATATCAAATTCAAAAAGTTCACATTTATGATTTTTTAAAAATATATGAGATAAGATATACACTAGATTAGAAACGCATTAATTGTAAGACGTTGATGATGCCATAAATATAACGAAATAAAAATTAAAAAATTAATTACACTATTTTTGAACTATTATATATTCTAATATTGACACTATTTTTGAACTATTATATATTTTAATGTTAAAATATGTATCTTTGCAATAGTTACTGCATTAGAATCGTTTGTTTCTTTCCTTCAATAGCTAGAGTCCTTGAGGCAAAAATCGTGATGCTAATTTTAATATATCGCTTTCATAGTCTTATTGGATTCCGGATGTTGTCTATTCAGTCTGAATTATGTTCTGATCTGTATTTAAAAGGTGACAAAATATTAAAAAATACACATTGTAGATTAATTAGTTATAGAACATTTAAATTGTACATTTTATTCGATCATTATTATTATTTTAACAATGATTCAAACTTTAACTTATGTTACAGAATGTTAAATTCAATATTTAATTTTTTTATTAATATTTTTTTAATTGCGTAATCTAAAAATGCATGTATAAAACGAATAATTACTCGTCGGTTTCTTCTTTTTTTTCGTTTAAATGGCGGAATCCTACAGAAATCGTCTAAACTTGAAGGGCTTGATTTAGTATACTCTGTGTCAGGATGTTTACTCGTACTGGTGAGTGCATTCCCATCTGTCAAAGCGCTTGATTTAAATTTGTTATTCATTCGAAGCTCGACTCATCTCACTCTCTCTTAATTCTTATCGCATCCTCCAAATACACTCTCGCCATCAATGAATCATTGTTAATTTAATTTAAAAACGTGTTTATTTCGTTTGTTCATTCGCTTTGCCATTCATCATCCATTAGTTGGCGATCGATACTGCGATTGTAAAGATTATTTCGCTAATTAGTACGGAAATCGCAAAATATTACAAAAACTGCTCCATTCAGTTTAACTCACGTGAACATAATGGAAGAAATATTAGGAAAAGGAATAAATATAATAATTTCATTCCATCGGAAATCGTGTATTCCACACATTTCGTGGCGTCGCGTCGTAGTCATTCGCGAGACAAGTCGCGGAAACTTAATATTATTTCTTATAGTTTTTGAGATAAGAAATCCAATGGTGCTAATGAAAATTACGTCACATGACGGGAAACACATAAAAAATTAAGTTTAAAGTCGGAAAAATGCGTGGCGTCACAGTCATTCGCGAGACAAGTCGCTACGCTGCATGGTTTCGATGATATGCAGTGTGTATATTATGTTTTTTCATTACAAATAAAGAATTTGTTATAAAAATGCTATATTTAATAGTAAAAATATCAGGCGCAACGGTATAAAGTCCCATGCGCCTGCACGAACATGTTCGAGTCGCGACTTCCCGTAATTTAACTTAATTTTTACTAGTACCATTGGATTTCTCGTCTCAAAAACTATAAGAAACGATGTCAATTTTACTTTCCGCGAGCGAGAACATTCTAATTCTTTCAAAATGTATTACTCAAAATGTATATGTATGGTTTTACGGATATCAAATTTTATATACACTTCTCCTCAAAATTAAAGGATCACCTATTCAGATCGCTAAAAATAGGCAAATTTCAAAAGAGTGTAACTTTGTCAAAAATGATCGTAACAGAATGAATAGAAAAGCATTTTACAGCTAAAAGTCTCTACTTTCAAAATCAATAATTTATTAGATGACTTACTGATTCTTTACAAAGCTGCACGAATGCAAATGAAGATGCCTCAAATCTAAAATTTTGTACTAAGTTTGCAAAGTTTCATGGAGTGCAATAAAAATTGCATACAAATGCGACTTAGAGCGTTCGAAAGTGTGAGTCTTTACCTTTAATTTGCGTACTCGATCAGCATTTTGCGATTTTTTTTTACCGAGTTATTCAAGATGGAAGCAAAAATGGTCCTTTTCACTTCAATGTTGAATAACTCGGTGAAAAAAAATCACACAATACTCATCGAGTATGCAAATTAAAGGTAAAGATTCACGCTTTCGAACGCTCTAAGTCGCATTTGTATGCGATTTTTATTGCACTCCATGGAACTTTGCAAACTTAGTACAAAATTTTTAGATTTGAGGCATCTTCATTTGCATCCATGCAGCTTTGTAAAGAATCAGTAAGTCATCTAATGAATTATTGATTTCGAAAGTAGAGACTTCTAGCTGTAAAATGCTTTTTGAATCATTCTGTTACGATCATTTTTGACGAAGTTACACTCTTTTGAAAATTGCCTATTTTTAGCGATCAGAATAGGTGATCCTTTAATTTTGGGGAGGAGAGTATGTTGAAAATTATGAAACGAATTAATTTGTCTACGTACCTGACAAGCTTTAACTAGAGATGATGGTAAAATTATTTATTTATGCGTTGCGATTGACCCATAGACATGTAAGATATATAGACTCCACATCGGCTGGATTTTCCGGTCGAAGGGGCGTTCATATTGTATAAGAGAGAAAGAGAGAGAAAATAGTAAGGTTCCCTGTCCTTTACTAATGCATGCACTAATGATGCGCGGGCAGCGCATCATTGTCAGAAAATACAATATGATATTTATACATATATTATAAATAATGTTATTTTATTATTCCGCAGAAGCAAAGATTAATATACTTTGCTGCAATAATTTTGTCTCCCTATACACATTGCGAAAATGTCATACTTCGTTTCGACCCATGGACATATATGACCACTGGTTGTCAATTGCAGTTAATAGATCGTACTGCGCATCCGTTCTGCGCAGAGAAGGACAAGGAGCAGTGCAATTTTTTGTCTTGCAATAGCATGGACGCGTATATATAGCTAACGTGGAGTCCATCTTATACGTTTATGGATTGACCACGTCGTGATTGCCCACGCGTTGCAATTGCCGACGTCGTGATTGCCCACGTTGTGATTGTCCACGTCGCGATTAACCGCGTCGCGATTGAGCACGTTGCAATTGACCACGTCGTGATTGTCCACGTCGCGTTGCATTTACCCACGTCGCGACGATGCATTTATCCAGTCATCACGTCGTTGTCGGCGCGTGAAGTTGACCGCGTCGGAAACGAAGCACGTGAGTGACGCCGCGACTCTTTTAATTGATAAGCGATATAATTGTATCAATCTTGCATCTAACTTGCATAATATAGATTCGGCACTCGCACTCTGATTCGATTTGATGCGTATTTCGCTATATTGGTTCGGCAAAAAATCAAGACGTTTAGCGTCGCCGCGCCGATATTGGCGCGAGAGACAAAGCCATTTCAATACATACGTATCCTTTTCCTTTTCAGAACGCGGCGGATACGGAAAAAATCAGTTCCGGAATAAGGGGCGTCGCTGATACAATTGGTAAGTGAAAGCTTATATCTGTGCTTGATTATCATGCAGAGTAATATCATCGACACGCATGCATTGATATTCATTCGTATTTTGCAATACTTATTTGGCCGTAAAGCGTCGCGGCGGCGGCGTCGTGGCCGCGGTGCTGTTGGCGCGAGAAATGAAGCGGCTCCGTCATTTTAATAACGTTCTCTTTTTCCTTTTCAGAACTCGACGGACACGTGAAGATTCAATTTTGGAACAAGAGGCGTCACGGCTGATATAATTGGTAAGTGACACTTGTATTTGCACTTAATTATTACGCAATGTAATAATATCGGCACGCATGTATTGATATTCGTTCGAACGCGAATTTTGCAATACTCGTTCGGCCGAAAATCATGAAGCGGCGTTATTGAAGTCGCGAGAGACGAAGCCGCTCCATTATTTTAATAATGTTTCCTTTTTTTTCAAAACGTGATGAATGTAGGCAGGATCGGTTCCAGGACGAAGGGTGTCGTGGTAATTGAAACTTGTATAAAAAGAGGTTTTAAAAAGAGGGAGAGATTTTTATTTCATTTGGCTCGGTCAAAATTTTACACTATTTTATATACTTAAGAGTAAATTTTTATAACCAACTTTTA